TGCACCATAATGTGAAACCACTGGGAAACTAATACTGATCCTCATGGACATCATGTGTTACATGAATGCAAACATCATGGACCACTTGCATATAACTTACACAACTTCAGCACAATCTGCACAAAGATACCATTACATGTTTTATATTTTAAAATGTTTCTTTTAATAGTATTTATTGGAGCCCATAGTTCTGTTCCTGCTTCTTACTTTATTCTATGTTCCACTCTATGTTGTGATTGTGGTTCTGGAACACGCGTGTGTTAAATCTATCATTGTAATTCACAGCAGTGGTCCTCTCTCTCTGTGTGTGTCCCATCACACAACCAGTCTCCAACCTCTTCCCACCAATTTGGCGGCAACTAGAGAGGCGCCACACATCAGCAACAATGGAGCAGCTGCCCTGCAGCATCAATGGGCTCCGGCTGACCTGTGGCTTTATGCGTTTACGCGCCTTTTTATTCCTTTCATAACCCTGAGAGTCTCTTCAAGGCATCTGGGATTCATAATAAACCCGAGACACTTTAAACACCACGAGGTATAAAGATCAAACCACACAAAAATATTCAATGAGTGAACATTTATTGAAAATCAGTTGTCAGTGACAGAACATTTGTTTCACAAAACAGTTTGTTTTCCTCTTCTATGCCATCAATGTATAATAAAAAATCCTATTTAACACATAGTGTTTACAGACTATTATGTTGCACAGACCAAAATACTTTTAAGTCCATCGTGCAAACCTCAAATAAAATAACCCTTGGGGTTTTACAAAAGTGTTGTCTACAACCCGTATCTTTGAAACCCCAAAGAGGATTGCGTCTTAAAAAAGTTCATAGACTTTACCGTTTCTTTAAGATCTGTGCTCGTGTGCCCTCTGGCATTAAACGCAAAATGAGCCAAATGCTGAATTCCATTATCATACAGCAACTCAAACAATTCTTCTTCTTATGTCACCAAGACTACAGTGACGTTATTGTAATACATGTAGTAAATCACAAAATAAATAACACACATGAGAAATTAAATGTCCATCTAGTCTACCAAGGTCTCCACATGGCAGCGCTGACAGGCTGCGGACCTGGCTGTGCGCGGCTGGGAGCCACTGCGCTGTTGTTGCCGCTGCTGCTGCTGCTGCTGCTGCGGGACTGACTCTCCAGTCTGGAGCTGAAGCTGGATTTGAGGCTCAGGAGTCTCTGTTGGATCTGAGGGAGGCTCCTGGAGCTCTGAGCGCAACAGTTTAGGCAGGTTGGAGTGACGGTGGCGGACATGGACTGCTGAACGAAGTCGTTTACCCGCTGGCACGCGTCTTGATCCAGGCTCGTTTTGGGAAGCAGAGCGGAGACGCGCTGGAGGCAAGCTTTGTAGCCTTCTCTGTAACTGTCTGCGGAATCTGGAGGAAGCGAAGAAAACGTTCGATTAGTGACTGGAAATTCACGGGAAGGATGTGTGAAGTAAAGCATTTTGAAAATATGAATATCATAGTTCAGGCGGTGACGCTCACCTTTGACTGGAGAGGCAGGAAGATCTCTGAGGAACCGGACTGTCATTTCCAGAATATCAGCTTTCTCCAGTTTGGAGTAGCGTGCGTTGTCTTTGCCAACAAGAGGCAGAATGAGGCTCTTCAGATGACTGAGACTGTCATTGATACGAGCACGTCTTTTCTTCTCTAGCAAGGGTTTCAGAGTCTGGAAGAAATGATGAAAAACTGTTAATGGTTGCAATTTTAAAACAATCAGGACCATGAAACATATCCAAGTGAAATAGACAGTTGTGCAGTATCTCCGCATTTCTTACCTTTCTCAGTTCGTTGGCGTGTTTTCTCTGGGCCACGGTGGACCTGGCAGGGAGAGGCTGGTTGGCCTCTGTGATGATGCTGGGACTCATTTCGTTTGCTTCTTGGTGTTGTGCTTTTGGATGAGAGATAGTTGCTCTTGGAGCGGCTGAGCTGAAGTGTGAGGCAGAGCTGGCGAGCCTCCTATTTATGTGGGTCCGGCGCGTCAGGGCGGGGGGAACACAAGCCACTGTGACAAGGGAGGAAAGGGGTGGGGGCGATACCCCTGGGAGATGAGCGGTGCTTCTATCTGGACCATCTGGCCTCTGGTGGGCCCCTGCATCAGTCTACCTCTGGTATGCGGAGTTTCGCGAAGATGTTGCTTTTAAAATTTTAAGACTTTTCTATAATTTTCATCCAAGATCCGATTACGCACACGAGCCAATGTTGCTTTCCCTCTAACACAGCACATGGACCGCATTATATATACATCTTTCTGGATCTTCCAATTTTCAAGGACTGCTTAATGTTTCGTCTGTCTTTGTTAAGTTTATTATCTTTGTGTACGATAGATAAACCGGTTTATGTTTTAATTCCCTTCAAATTAATGGGTAAAATGGTCAAAGATCCTTTTTTTGTGTGGTGACAATTCTGACGGTTATATTGGTATAAGCACTGAACAACTATTTGTATATGATTATAATAAAACATACAAAGCACATTTTTAATAATGCTCATGGGCTCAACTTGCCCAAAAACACAGAACCAGACGAGAGTTTCTGTGGTGACAGGAATAATCTATTCCTCAAATTAATAAATCAGCAACCCAAGCCACGCTATGTATGGATTAACATCTGCTTATTGAGGCCCCAGCAGCTTGTTTCCAATCCAACAACACGGTGTTTACCTGACGTGCATGTGGAGGAGGAGACTGAGTGATAACCTGCAACACAGGCACAGGACTGCGTGTATGACGTATGAACATATGTGTGCACAAAGAGTCATGCAACACACAAGTCTGCACCCACACTGGATAACACGATGAGGGACAGTGACAGAGGAAAAGACTGGACCTTCATAGAGTGATAGCCTATCCCTTGTTTGTATAAACCAACTTATAAAAATGCATATATTTCAAACTCAATTCAATGTTATTGTGTTTTAATTTCAAAACCGTTTAGGAGTTTCAGTGAATCTCTGCTGTTCACCATGGAACCAAACAGCGCTGTGAGCTGCCAGTGGGATTCACGCGCTCGGCACGCGCCACAGCCGAGCAACAGATGGATGTAGACCCCCCTCCCTCCTCCCCTTTTKCTCTTCCATKTCTACACACCCAAGAACACTACCCTCCCCCACTCCCACCCCCTGTCTGTCAGCGCTGCACCACTCCTCTGCTGGTCCCCATCAGCATCCCGGCTCCTGCTCCTTTTCCTCTGACTTCACCATCACTGTTCTCCTACAACGCTTTTTGTCTTTCCTTTTTTTTTGGAGGGAGTTTGGCTTGGGTCATAAACACAATGGTACCGTTGTAAAAAAAAAAACGCAGCACCAGGCCTACAACAATATAAGGAAACCCTATGAGACACACAAAGAACAAATAAAACAAAATGTATTTAAATATCGTTTATATATAAACCAATGTTGTAGCTAAATGTTATAGATAATTTAATATATTTCAATCATATCCACAGATCTATCTTTTTGTGCTTAATATGATAAATAACATATCTATGCCAAATACTGCCTTTACGCACCAATTTTACGCACAGAACTGTTCGTTGAAGCGCTTCTATTTTACTTCTATTCAAATGCCACATTTATTTACATTCAGAAACAGATGTGCAGCTCAACAAGCTCGTATCATTTTGGTTAGAAGAAAAAAGACGCTGCTCTTCGGCTGCAAGCTGCCCCGCTGTAATTTGAGGGGTTTTCCACCCTTATTTTTTCCAGGCATTATAGATGCGGGGTTTTGCACGCGTCCTGCCCCATGGGGGCCCCTCCACATAACTGCCATCAAGTCCAGTCTGGGATCGGACCCTGTGATATGAGACAAAAAAAAAGTTCAAGAGATGCTTCGGTTAGGAGCCTTTTTGTCCTGGTTTCAGCGTGGGTATCCATCTGTGCAAGCCGAGAGCACAGTGATCCTTTGTTGAAGGTCGTACAGAAAAGTGGAATCACCAATAATTTTACAGCAACTGAACGCGAAAGAGATATGATACTTTTCTTAGTTTCTTATATTTAAACCACAGGTTGTTGAACTCTCTGACAATAAGATTCAAGTCTGATAAAGAAAACTGGTAAATGGATTTATATATCATTAATGATTATTAAGAACAATAAACAAACACATTATATTTTTACAAGGCTATTTTATAATCTGGATCAAAATGTGAAAAGGTGAAATACATCTTAAATATATTCCCAGAAAACATTTTACATTTGAGTGAGTTTGGAGTAAAATAACAATGGGTGAGAAATAATTTGTGCGTATAAACGGCATGAGACTGACACGAGCCAACATGTCCAGGCAGATGGAGGCTGCGCGGGTTTATTGAACCGTGAAACCAAAAGCGTCACTGGACTCTTCCTCGCTGAAGGTGATCGTCGCCATCACGGCTACACGGAGGATGTCAGACCTCTGGCTTTTTCCAGACTCCAAATCGTGACTGCAGCTCAAAGGATGTCTGGCATCCCAAGCCAAAATCTACGCCAACATTATAAGAATGACTCTGAAGCATCTGTACAATAGACTGCAGGCTGGTGTTTGTCCCTATGCTGCACGTGGTTCAGACTGAGCATTATTGAAACTCTTGCTGTTTCCACTTTGTAATCAAATTTATCTTAAATTTAGCTGGTTAAAATTATTTTTATTATTATCATAAAGCATTTAACTGCCAGGTTTGATTCACAAATCCTGTAAAGGTTGTAAACCAAAAAAATATTATTCATATTTCTCATTTGGGTCAATGGTAAGACCCTATTTAATATAAATGTATAACAGTATATGCAATGTAAATACTGGATGTAGTTTGGTTTTTTAATGCTTTTGCAATTGAGAGTACTCAATTTCAAATGGGGAGAATTCTTAGTGAGTCTTGATTTGAATGTTTTTTAGAGAGTAAAATATTTGATTTTAACTAATAGTCAGAGTCCTTAGTGATTGTAATTCCAGATTACAGAAATTAGTACAAAATTGTCTTTTCTGGAAATATTCATATTGAAATTGTTGTTTGATATCCAGTTTCACTTGAAAACGCAGACTTATAAAAAGCAATACGCACAGCAGTAATGCATGTGCAAGTTAAATGCTGTTTAACCCTGAAACTCCAAAAGTGTTTTTTGGACTTAAACACTTGACCCACCCATCCATCGGCATAGTGGTTGATAGATAATGAGTGATTTTAATTTTTCAGTGAACTATCCCTTTAATACATTAAAGCTTTTTGCAGAAATTCATTGTTACTGAATGAATCAAGAAGAAGAACCACCAGAAATCTCAAGTCTGCAGCTAAACTAAATGCATCTATAAATGCTCTGTATTTATATTGTGTTTTCTAGTCTTGAAACCCGCTCACAGCTCTTCACCATGAAGATTTTGCCTCACACACATTCATACAGTGCATCTATCTGCAGCCCTTTCTCCATCACACATCACTCAGTCACTAGCAGCACAACCATCAGGGGCAATGTTGGGGTTAGTATATTGTCCAAGGACCACGCATGTGGAATGGGGGAAATTTGGGATCGAACCCATGTGCAAAGTTGTTTTGGCCCACAATGACATTGGGCCCACATGCCATGTGGAACAATAGCACTTGATGGTCAGCTCCTGTTTGCCAGATCTAGGGCAGGTAAACCATAGCAATACTGCACACCAACCAAAGGTGCTAAAGGTGGGTGTTGTGTTATTTGGGTCATATTCACCATTTATCACATGGGCCACTCAGGTTTACATCCAGATTACACCTTGTATAGAGCAGCACATGTTTGCCAAAAAAGGCACACATTTGTTTTTTCGGATATGTGGGATATATTTACGATTGTAAAGTGGCCCACTATAGGGTTATATCCATTTTAGTGCAGCATCATTGGCTGACGTGGGCTGTACCTGTATATCTGGAAACTGCTGACCCCCTCGTTAGTGGACAACTCAGTATACCTCCTGAGCCAGAGGACAACTCATGGTGGGATTACATACATACGTTAGAGTCATAGAACAAGCAGCCAATGGAAATAAATAGTTATAGCCAACAACACTGAGAAGACAGAAACACAGTTATACCAACATGTTTGGTTTTTGGTCTTCATTAGACTTTATCGACCAGAGAGGCCTGATTCAGCATTTCCTGACTCCTCCGTACACTGACACATTCAACTGATCCAAACAATCTTTGTGTGACGTTTGTGAGGTAACTGACTGAAGTAAAGTTATAAAGGTTAGAACACACAGCTTTGCAGCCTTTCAAACACACTAATCATGATCGTGATGGTGAATTGTGGATCGTGGTGGCTGCTGATCGTGTACTATGATTACAACAAGGCTGTTTGAACAATATGCCTACTCAAATATTATACCATTACTGACACCTGATAGCTCTCATTGTAGATGGGAACTCTCTCTGTTTGTAGGACTGATGGTTCTCTGAAAGGCTTTAGCACAAGCTACCTCATAATTCACTTGTTAGACTGAAAATATTTGTTTCCTAACTGCAGCAGTCCACAAAAACATTGATCAACTCATTGAGACTGTTTATATTTGATATTAGACTCTCATACACTCAAGAGTTCAGAGTGAGGCTACTTTAAAACCACTTCCACCGTGGTTGTGTAGCAGTTGTGTTGTTTTTTGACACAAGCAACAACAGAGACAATGGAGAAAATCTATTCTCTTCATTTCCCTTTGATTTCTGTATCCAACTCTGGTGTTTTATCATTCACTGAATGCCTTGACCTTCCTGATGAATGAGTGAACTCTAGTTTGTTTAGCATGATTAAAGCCATTAGATTTTGTTGAATGCTCCAAAAAAGTAGGATTATATTTCAAGAGTCAGTTGTTTTTCTCACAAACATGAATGCTGGGATCTACTCAGACTGACGAATAAAACGACAGATCAGAAAATAACACACGCTGTAATGTTACCAAGTTGTTTCTGAGGTGAAGAGCAGGTCCCAAAGCTGTGAGACTTCCTGGTCAGACAATGAGCAAAGAAACGTTCAAGAACAGCTTCTTCCAAAGACCAAAGTAGAACAAATAGGATGGAATTTCAGATATTATAATGTACAGTAAGTGCATGCACTCCTTTCTCTCGCATCCATTTTGTCTCACATCAAGAGGAGTCATCTGTGGGTATTTGCTTAATGGGGTGACCTCTATAGTGCTGAAAAATGAGAAAGAGGTGTGAGAGGTAAAAGGTGAAAGCTGTGCTGCTATATTCTGACTGAAGTCAGTTCAGGTCTGACTACATGTTATGTTGGTCTGTGTTTCTCTAACAATGAAAAGGCTCAAAATCAAAAAAGAATATGAGGAACTGATGTCTGACTTCCTTCTTTGTTTGTTTAGATGCCCAATGTGGCATCGTACTTCACCTAAACATGAATGATATGGATTTAAATTGCTTTTCAATTTAAGAGGAACAAACTAACACCCATCTAGAATGATTGAATCCTCCACCACCATCATAAACTCCAATAAAAAGTCACATTCTAACTTCAGAATCTGATTTTGGTCAGAATTAATATCTTTTTAATTGGAGAGCTTTCTGGCAGAGACCTTGTCAAGACATTTTAAACCTGTTTATGGGTTAAAATAGCTCTCTGCCCAAAAGCTCACAAATTAAAATGATTGTGCCCGAATACAGAGGCTTTTTTCTTCCCTCATTCAATAACCATTTTGTTGACATTTTACATCATATACTCGCATTGTTTTGGTACATCTAATACAATCATACTTATAACATAACTTATAAGAATCAGAGTATTTTTATTCAAAGTATTTCTATGATTCTGTCCACCATATGCTTTTATTTAATACCTCTCAGTACAATGCAAATCACCAATCAATGGTGCCACAATCTACATCCTCTAAAATGACCTGCTGATCAACAGCTCTCCAAAAAACTGTTTCCACACAAACTAAACAGTAAAACTTTCATGATTCATTATTCGTTATACAACAGCTCTGTTGTATAACAGAGTGAATATGTTGTAGCCAGGTGTAGGTGACTGAGTCCTGTTTCCATTTGTAAATCTGTCCACAGTGTAATGTAATAAAGAATATCTCAAGTTTAACTCATGAGTGGGATCATATTTTATCAAAATATCCTCACTTGTAAACCAACTCGCTTGTATATAGAAAGTAAAGATTTGAAGGAGGGTATATAAGATATTAAAACTCCGCCTCATAGGAGTAAAAGGAGAATGAATACATATACATAAAATAAAAAGAATATATAGATAGAAGACGAATAAAACTCGAATAACGTGTCCACGTTGCTGGTTTTGTGTTTGCTCTCTTTGTTCACGTTAGTAAAGCTCTCATGTGACATTGCATCAGTTCTCCCTGTGAGGATGCAACATGAAGACCTATCAAAATTTGCCGTGAAGCTTCCCACGCCTAAAACAACGCCATTTTCACGAAGCATCTGCCGCGTGCAGCACTGACCAAAACCCAAACTTTTTTTTTCCTCCTATACGAGCTCCTGTTGACGTCACTGATTCTATAACCCGGAGTCTGCATCAGCATCCTCACAGGTCACGTGCTCCACAAGACGATAACAAAGGACGCTGGTAAATTAGAGTGATTTGTAAATAAAAAGTCACTCTATCAAACAAAACGAGAGTATAAAATATATGGTACTAGGATATATAAAGTATATGTGATGTATAATATATAAGCTATAATCCAAAAGTCTGAAAACAATTGATTATGATGCGTGATCGTTTCAGCTGCCTCGTGTCAGGTCTGAACAATGTCACGTTTTCTTCAAATGTCTCTTCATGTTATAAATGATATAAAATCAAAATATAGGTCTATTGGA